TGATATAATACTTACATAGATGAGTAATTACCGCCTAAAATCGTTGCTACTGCACATCTGTCCACAGGCATATGCGTAGCAAACGTCAATTCAGTGTTCAATGTGGCGTCAACCGAGTTGAACATAGCGACACATGACAGTAACAATCGCCAAAATGGGTAAATGCGTAGTTAAAGAATGCGATTCAAGGTCACAAAACAATAATAAATCATGCGGAATTACTTTTCACTTGTAAGTTTATGGTTTTTGTATTGATAATATCGTAAATAAGGCTATAATTGAAATAAAACACTGATAATTTTAATTTAGAATCAGTGTTACCATTAAAAAATCATTTTGGTTTTCCCACATTAGTGGGAGAATTTATAATTTATGAAATAATATGCTTTATACTGTTTTTAAACATTTTGCCAATAATAATAAAATATAGGCAGAACGGTAGTTGTTAGGGCTGGACCGATCACTTTTTTTAGGGACCCGTTGAACGTTCTTCTTGCTTGGTGCTGGAGACTTTTGTACAAAAGAATTAATTCATTGTTTTTCTTAATTTATTATCAATATTAAATAATAATTGTACAAAATAATAATAATAATAATAAAAAATGTTTTTCATAAAAATAAAAATTAAAAAAGTAAATAAATATAAATATTTTTTTATTTGTTTTTTAAATTATAATAGAATTTGCAATACACCCTGGGGATTATTTATTATCAGTACAAGTTGATCATTCACTTTTATTATTGAATGCTATTATTTTTACATACGTAAAAATAAGATTGTATCATGAAAGTAAAATATCCACACAAACTTATAAAAAAAGAGTCTAAAAGACAATTGTATACAAAACTGATGCTTCACAGCGCAGTTTGATTTTACACTGAATATAAACCCTTTTAACCAAATATTTCCAGTTATTTTATTATTTATACCTATTCAATTTTTCAATTCGAAATATATTATTTAGAATATTTAAATTAATTTATTTTATTGCAAAATGGTTTTAAAAAAAAATGTTTCTTAGTTGTTATGGGTAAAATTTCATACGGTAGTCAACACTGGCCCACCATCGTAAAGTTATGTCTTTGTCTTTGTCTAATCCGAGCGATGGTATTGTTCTTGTCTCGCGTGTAAATGAGACATAAATATGTTTACTTTCAAATGTTTAGTGGTATCAAAGCTACGTCGTCAAAGTTCAAAAGTGGTTACACTTTTTTCGACGTGTGATAATGAGGTTTGCTTCTCTAGTGTTGTTTTAACTCAATGTTGAGAACACTAACATTCTACGCATGCGCAATGGCTTAAAAGCGTCGCACAGCCGGCAACCGCTGTCCTTGTCTGACAAATGACGTTACGCGCTAACTCTCTTTCACTCTACCTTAAATATTTATCATCTTTAACAGCCAGTAACCCTTATTTGCGGCCAGATTTAATTAAGCAACCATATATGATAATTAATAGAAAAAAATTAGCTTCAATTTGACATATAATTAATAAATATACGTTATAAACGTATAAATTTATCGAAATCATACCTGTTTACACCAGGCTGCAAAGAGGTGCGGCCAGGTGCGCAACGGCAACCGTGATTTTTTAGAATCTTCATATTAATTACCGTGATGTAGACGTTATTTTATTTAAAAAATAAATAAACGAAATTTTTAACCAAAAATCAGTTAAAAATAATTTAATTAAAAATAATGCGGCCAAATTTTGATAGGCACCCTAGTAAATGTATATTCTTCTAATTATAAATAAACATAAAAATTTGGTTTTAAACAAAAAATCGATGAACGCACCAATCCTGCAGCGGGATCTCGTACTATTAGAGTAAACGGTATATCTTTTCATATATTTTTTATTTGTATTATGAAAGTATTGAATTGTATTTATTAATGGATATAGATTTTTTTAATGTTAGAGGGGGCAGACGAACAGACGCGTCACCTGATGTAAAGTGACCATCGCCGCCCATGAACGTCTGCAACTCAGGAGTCACAAACGCGTTGCCGGCCTTTTAGGAAGGAGTACGCTTTTTAACACCAATTTAAAGAAGAGTAGTCACAATGTTATAGAACTAATCTGTTCTGCTTTCACTAATATAAACTTTTGTGAGTAGTTGCATGTCGCAGAAATGTAACAACAATATTCAACTGACAGTGTGCTTTTGTTATCTGAGTAAAAACCTTGTAGCGTAGTTAAGTAGATAAGTGTATTGTGTGTGTGTGTGTATGTATGTGATTAGTATATTCACACTCTGGTTCGCTAACTCTGCTTAGTCTCTCCGTTCTTTCTGTAGATCTGTATATACCAAGAAATATATCACTTTAGATAAAAAGATATAGGTAACTGGAGGGTTGCTTAACTTTGGGCTTGATGGTTATGTTGTAAAGTACCTGATTCGTGAATTTAAAAAAATGAATAAAAATGTAATTAGTTCTTTAAAGCTTAAAAGATATAGCTAATTGTATAATTTGAAAATCAGCGCGTACTCGTTAAGTATTATATTGAATATATGACTGCACGGGTGCCGTAGTGGTTTAAGCGGTCATATCGCCGCTTCCTACTGCGCGTGTTGTGGGTACGATCCCTACATGGGACAACACTTTGTGTGATCCACAAAAGTTGTTCTGTGTCTCGGCGGTCTTTGTGTCCGTTTCATTATTGTTTGTATAGTCCCCCGCGACACAGAATATATTCCTATTGCGGAAGTTGTCCTAAAAAAAAATATTTCAAAGAAATGTACACACATTATACAACATGTTCACGTCAATTAAACAAATGTTCAATACATTGCGCTGAACATTGAAACTAATAGGCGTTGTAAGGTCTTTCATTGTTTACTGCGATCGTACATCGATCGTCACAGTAGCCGCACACGCGCAACCAGACACGATCATACGAGTATTGCACTACATTTGCATACAATGTTGTGCCGGTTCCAACATCGATCTATTTCAATTTGGTTTGTCGGTCTCAATTTACGAAATTGAAATAATTGCTATTTCATTGACAAAGATGTGAACGTAAATTATTATTTTCCTTAATTTGGATAGTTTTTTGTTGACCGGATGGAAAATCCCTTAGGATCTCCTGCTTCTTGGCGTCCCAGGTATCTGGTGTTTCCACTAAAAACTAACCAAACGGCCGGTCTGAGGCCCCATACTCTGGGGAGCACCCGCATCATGTAGTTTCAGGTCGCTTCCCAAATCTATGCCGCGCCTAACCAGGCCCTATACTTGGGTTTAAATGGATTGAATCTCCCCCTGCTTTTTGTCATCAAGGGGTTTTGACATTTTTAATGGATGACCGCCTTCTTAACGCCTACATCTTTTGGTAACGTACTAATTTTCAGACCAGACATAAAAACAGGTAAATTAGAATGAAGAAAACGGATACAACGAGATAGTTATGGTAAGGAATACTGCATTTAGAAAACGGAAAATGGAATGAGACTGCAGTAATTCAAAAAGATCAGGTTTGAGTACACGTATGCTCGTCCTGTGATTGGAGATGCTTACTAAAGCTTTATTTATTGTATTTATTATACAAAGTAACTTTTGCCTGATGAATAACAAATAAAATCTGGTTTCATATCTATATATTTAAAAATGTTAAGTTGGTTTGTGTATGATTCAAAAACTCAACAAGCTCTACACCAATTGAGCTTAAATTTTGACACAATATACAATCCGCTTCAATGATTGAATTTATATATTTTTCGCGACAGTTTTGTTTCTCATTTCTAATCAATGCAACCAAAATGTACCACAGCAAAACATGGCAGGGCACAGCTAGTTTAACGCTAAAAAAATGGCTGGCAATGAACAGTAATTTTGCATCATAATTATTATGTTAATGAAACAAGGAATTTGTTAAAACCGCTTATGGATTACCCCATCCATTTTTAATGAGCGGGGTTAGGTCATAGTGCATCTCATTGCCCTAGTGCCGATTGCACTTTAAGAATTAATTAAACACCTAATTATATGCAGATTTCTTCACAGTGTCTGTAATACCTTACTAATAATAAAATAATCTGTAATAAATTAATGTACTTTTAGACTTCAGAAGAAAAAGTCCCGAAGATCTTATATAAACTTGTATGAGGACGTTTTACCATTATGTTATGGTGAATGGTACAGGTATTACGTGCTACGTTTGATATTCATCACATTATAAACAACAGCCTTTAATAGTCCATGCTGGCCAGATGGGTTGGTATAGGGTTTGTGTCAAGTTTTCCTTCTTTTTGCAGTGCATAGTTTGTTCCCGTAGTCAGGTCTTAAGACACCCATGGGATGAATAGGGGTGATACTCCATATTCTTAATTCTTCACCGTATTCTTAATATTAATATAAATTGCAAATATCTGCCTCTGTTATTATTTTATATTTTAAATAGTTCTTTATAGCCATTGGTCCGCTCTTGATGGTCGTAGTATGTTATATAGGTTACATACCCCGTATTCTCGCTCAATGAATACTCTATTCAACACAAGGTTTTTTTTTTAATTTATTGGTAGCTTTAGAGAAACTACAGCTTTATTATAATACTGCCACTATAAATTAATTAGGACCACAACTAACAGCTAATTAATAAGAGTATAGAAAGGATGGGAGAGCTCTTGTTACCCAAATCGGTCATTAATCTTGTTTGTACACCAGTTTAATGGAGTGTGAAGTTGCAGGAGTGGTTGCATTGAGAGGAGCAACATTGGGCAATAGCCTATGAGCCCACAATGGTGTTTGTTCACGGTGTCTGCCCCCGATAGTTACGGGTGCATGGTGTTTGGTCTTATGATGAAACGGATGATGGGACGCAAGGATGTTCTTTTGTTTCTTGTTCGGGTGAAAGGTCGGCGGGTATGGAAATAAGTTGTATTTGCAAATTGTGTGAAGGTTGTATGTCTTTACGATTTAGTATTCTTATATGCGTTAACACACCGCTTGTAACACTATTTAGTGTTGTAAAATTGTTTATTTTGATTTGAAAATTTGAAATGAGTTGGGCTAAAGCTAATGTATGCTCGGTTACGGTGTCTACCTAACAGAAGACCGATGTTTGTCTGGGATACTACTTTACCAATCTAGCTTCCATAGTACAAGTTCTGCTTAATTTGACACTAGATACCAATTTCAGTATCAAAATATAATCAAGCAAATTTAAATACTTTTCAAATACTTAATTTGACTGGCCTGTTGGTGTAGTGGTCAGTGACCCTGACTGCTACGCCAGAGGTCGTGGGTTCGATTCCCACCCAGAACAAATAATTGTGTGATGAACACGGTCATTTGTTCTGTGTCTGGGTGTACTTTATCTATAATATGGGTGTATTTAGAAATATATAAGTATGTTTATCAGCAGTCGGTTACCATAGTACAGGCTCTGCCTAGTTTGGGATCAGACCGCCGTGTGTGAGATGTGTGTGAAATTAAATATTAAATAAACATATTTAATGTTTATAGATTTTTTTCGATTCGCTTTCGCAGAAAATATCTTAATTTTACGTTGTAGGCTCAAGTTTAATTGGATTTTGAGTCATCGGTATAACATTTATACGTAAGTAGCTAAAGTCTGTAATAAAATATGTATTTTGGTTATATCAGTAGGGGATTTCAATAGATATGGAATATCATATCTATATCTTTGGAATGTGTATTAGGCATTTATTTAATGCTATTATAAACAGGCATGATTATACGTCATGTAAACCGAAACTTCCACACTTGTTTGCTTAATATACTTGGTTATATACAAGAAAAATAAAATAAATAAATTTTAATTATACTTAGTTATAGAAATAATTAGGAAAAATTATATACAATAGCATGCCATCAGGTTATCTTGTAATAACCAAGTACCTACTCATAACTATTCTAGTATTTAGCATTTACATATTTCTGTTAAGATATTTTGATTAGCTGTGTTTTCATTTTTGTACTCAATTTAAACAACATCTAATCTAATACCTTTAAACGAGCAATTCTTGAATAAACTAAATCTCGGCAACGACTCCAACGATTATCATGAAATTTAGTATGCAGGGGGTTCGGGGGGCGATTAATACAAATCTAAAAATACTTTCCCAGTAGGCAGTTCCGATTAGATTAGAGATCTGCATATCTCCCGCAATTGTTTCTGGATACACTTTTAACTCATACATAACTTTCTGTTTGTTCCAGCTGGTGGTGAACCTCGCGCTGGTGATTTACCATGCGCTGGACTACATGCACGGAGAAGACGAGGAGCGGCTCATATCGCCCGATCTCGAGGGACTTATCACTGAGATGACGTCATGCGGCAACACAGGTAGGCATACAACATTAAACAATTTATAATTAATTCCAATGAGACAAGAAGGTTAGCTACGGTTTGTTAGATTATAGACGATGGCGCTACGTGCTATAGATAAGGGCATACATCTGGTATTGGCGAGCGTATTTGAGAGGAGAAATTCATCCGTCCATTATTCAGGCGAACCCTTGTATTGTTTCGTTATTATTCGTTATTATCATCATCAACAGCCTTAAACAGTCCACTCCTGAATATATTCCTCTCCTTAGAAAGGAGGTTCTGGCCTTTTATACTACGCTGGCCAGACGGATGGAAAGAGGGTTTGTTTCAAGTTTGCCTTTTCTTTGCAGTGCCGTTGTCCTGCGTAGTTTTCTCCACGGAATGGATAGGGGCGGTGACACTCCGTGTTCTTAATCCATCACCACACGAACCTTATTATTGTGTTATATTAATTACTAAGACCAAAAGAATGTAAATTGAAAGAAAGCTTCAATGAGAAGAAAGCTTAAAGTATTTCTTAATTAGTTAGTAATTTTATTTACTCTATATTAGAATTGAACTTATGACTTGTTAAATATTGGATCTTAAATTTTCACAAATTTGTAAATTAACATCTGTAGTAATATTGAATTTTAAATGGCAATTCAAGCACCGAAGATCTAATTTATCGGATCGAATCAAAGTAATTTTATTCAAAGTTAGAGTTTTAAAAACCAAGTTTGCTACTCGATGAAATTGGTTCGACGCGCTGCTTTAAGGGGAACTTAAACACTTGAGAATTATAAGAATGCGAGATCTTTGGATTCAAAACGAAGTAAATCCATTTGCCTCTTATTTATACATGGACTTAGATTGCGTGAGTATACTACTCGTACATTCTTATCTTTATTAAAAAGCATTTGTCAAGGACATCGAAGGTTGAAGGTTCAGAGATTCATCGAATATATTTTATTATCCCACGATGTTTTTGAAAATAAATAAATACTACCTGTTTTTATTTATTTTTAAAATTCATCAATATGTTGTGCAGTAAGTCTGGCCGTAAGATTTGTATAGATTTGATGTACTATTACTACTTCTCTTAAATTTTGTATATCCAACAAATATTTTTTTGATTTACTTTTAGTTTCTAAGTAGAAGCTAGTTCACCCCTGTTGTTTTATACACTAGGGATGTAATAAGGCAGAAAACAATTACCTTTTAGAAGCAGCATGGAAACCCTTTTCCTGGTTGAAAACCTTTTTTTCTTTTGGATGACGGTATTGAGTCCGGCTAATGTTCTACCGAGGCTAAAGTTATAGGCTGCTCTGTTTTACTGTCTGTCTGACCCTAATGATCAGCATTAACTTCAGGAGAAGTAATGTCAAATATAATGTAAGATTTTAAACGAAAAAGAGCACAAAAATGTATCTAAATATTTGTCAAGTTCACCATCTTTCTTTTTGCTTTTCTTTCTATTGAAGCATCGTTTCAAACATCATCCATAATACCATCTCATTCCAAGTACCATACAAACAATGGCCCATTAACTACTGTATCACCATGATGTACCTCTCCATGGGAAATATCTTCTCCATCGAATGTCTGAAGTGTAGTTACATGAGAACTTTCTTCTAGTACGAGTATCAATGTTCATGTTGCTTTATTGTATTGTGTACATTGAGGTCAGGTTTAATTAACTTTTTGTTTGTCATTTGCATTGTGCGTGAGATGTTTATTTGATATACCGTAAGGTATGTTGAAGTTGTAACATCGCTTGTCGACTGATAGTTCGTCTGCTGGTTTAAGCGACCTTTTTGTTGATGTTGGAGTTTAAGATTACAACTGATTGCCAAAGTTCCTAAGCGTATGAATATTTTTAGGCTTGCCATTATTTACGTATTTGCAGGATATATATAGGTGGACAAATGATTTAATACCGTTTGTGAAAATAACTATTTAAAAATATAATAGAACTATTTATTTGGTTTAGTCATTATACACGAGCAATAAAACAAATAAATTAAAAAGTATTATCGTTCATTTTTAGTTAATAAAAGTAAAAATAAATAAAGTAAAATTACATTACGAAAGCATCCGTTTGTTAACTCGGGTTTCCACGGTGATTTGCTCTAGCGATAAAACCATTGCTATTTGTGTACCAAATTATTAAAACGAAGACACCACATAAGGACTTTACGTCGATGATTCAGCAGGTTGAGTGACTTTAGAGCAGTCACACATTGCCTGTAGCCACCTGTGATCGAATTAAAAGTGGGTAAATAATTTGTTTTATGTGCTTACAATTCATATTCAATCTACCAAAATTCTGATCATTAATTGTTTTTTGTATATCTCTAAAAAATGTTGCAATAACCATTTGTGTATTTAATTTTCATGGATTTCATATATGTATTGTTAAAGACATTTTTCACGAAATACACCTTATCTCCAAGATTTAATGTATTATTCAATTTCTGACCTATGAACAATGCATTAATTTCTTCCTTGCCTTGCATTCCAGTTCCAACAACGGTGTTACTTCCGTTCATTCAAACTATCAGTTTATCTGCGCCGCACTTGTTACCAAAATGCTGACACTATTCACAAGTAATTAGTAAAACTAATTCCCTTCTAATAGCTTTGTAAGTCATGTATCCGTTCCTACAGTAACTTCTATGCCTATTTAGTTTTACATCTTTTGAAATTAAGTTATCTTTATTTGAATTGGATTAATAGTTATAAGCATTTTGATTTTTGTTTTCATAATTCTGAATTTAAGATCTTAAATTTCAGCACATGTTTGGACTTCTGTCTTGTGTTAAAATGAAGAAATTTAACGTAATAAGGCGTTAGATTTCCTTACTTTTAAGAAGACTTGAAATCAGTTGTTGAAGTTGGGTTTAATCTTATTTTTAACCGAAAACCTATTACGTTTGTAGTGAAACTATTGCTGCGTGTTCGGATGCTATTTTTTTTCTCTCCTTGTTAGTAAATTGTGTTAGTATTTATAGTGTAATATTTATCGTGTGTGAGCTAACATCTATACACACACGTGTAAAAATATTACGGAAATTAAAATATCATCATAATAATAAATAAGGAAATGATTTGGACATTTGGAGGTGACATACATGGTAGTAAGAAAACGACGCGATTGTAACACGTTGATTGATATTATTACTGTGTATTCAAAATCCTTACTTTTCGTGTCCCGTGATTCAATTGAAGTGTATCTAATACGTCGATGTACATTCAATTTCAAACAACATGGGGCAAAGGCCCGATATAATTTTATCATCATGTCCTGGTATCGTGTAACGTAAAATCTATCGCATTCACACGCCCCATTTCATTAACATACGCAGATATCATGGTGTAGTACAAGATTAGCTATTAGTGTTCACTTTCTAGAACATGTTCAAGTCCACTTTATGCATACAATAATCTCTAGCCAAGCGGTCTTTAAGGTGACATTTAGACTGTTTCGCTTATCAACGACCTTTGCACTCACGCCAGCGTAGTCTCTTCCCATCATATTCAACTCGCAATGAAATGATACAATTCGTTCCGCCTGTCTTTCACCTCCCTTTCCAACTCTCACGGGCCCACTCAATCTAAATTAACTTGTCATATTTTCTGCTTTTCCGTGCAGAGTTACTTTTTGCTCAGATATCGAGCTTAATTCATAATCGAGACACGTAATTTCTCTATGCATTTAATGTTTCCTATAGCACTTTCCTATATGTCCCACAGATTAATTTATTATTATTTAATAGTTTACGCAAGAAAACTGATTTATAGAGTTCGTTGTAACTTGCCGATCGAATTCTTCAGCTACAGTGTCAACAATTCAAAAAAAACGAGGCCACAGTATGAAACAGATGTTCAAAGCTAATTTAAAACAGTTACTTTATGAAAAATTGTTTAAAAACATCATGTTATATTATATAATTTCTCGATGGTGATATGAAACAGGTAACGCAATAGGTACTCCGTTACTATCTAAATAAAAGTCCATTAAGCAGGGTTTTGGTTGTAATTTATTGGCACTAGTTGTTTGATTGTTCTGATGGTAATTATTATTACAAAAAATAAATTACAGAAAAAAGAAAGATATTAATTTGATCATACGACAGCTATTAGGCATATTTAAAATTGCATTTCTCGAAGACTAGGTTCTACTGGCTGTGGTCACAGAGTGACTGCACTTGAACTTCAGCAAATTTGACGGTACGTAATACCATCATCATTATCATATTATCATCATTACGTGATCCTTTTGCTTCTCATATATATTTATAAATTACGATATGTATTATGATATTTTATAAGGCTTTTGCTTTTCTATTTTTTAGTTTCTAGGACAATACTTAGAACATGTCTTGCTACATCAGTTTAAGCACATAATAAATTTAAACAAACGATTCCCATCGTCAAGTTCACGGCCATCTGTTTTTAAACTAACTGTTTATATACAAGTGGGCGATCGAATCGTATCGAAAGTATCGATTGGGTCAAGAGATGCGAGATGTGGATACCGGTCAGTGGGTCATATTGGACAGGTGAATCGGGTAACACAATAGATGATATGGTAGTTGCGATGCTGTGCTATTGTCCGAGTGTATTTTTAGAAGTCGGATTTGTTCCGACGACATTATCTTTATTGATCTGACAAGCTCTGATCGATAGTGCTTACGTATTTTCGAGGTTGTTTTTACATCGATACTTTTTTCTTATCGTTGTCAAATTTCTTGTTGAGAATCTTATTATCTTAGCGGATTTTACAGTTTGTCAATGTAATGCCTATAAAACCTTTTATACCTACGTGGGATTATTTTTTATCTAATAAATTAGACATTATCGACACGCAAGCTTTTCTTTTTATATCATAATCTAGTACTCGTATGCTTGTTATAAGCGTTCGGTTATAAATTGAGCGCTTTTTTTTTTACAAAGACCGATTTAAGTCTGTTAATTCCTTTATAAATTATAAGCTGATCATGTGGTTTCAAGCATGTAGACAAGTAAATATT